CTTTCTTCGTATAGGTGTGTGCCAGCTAGTCAATAAAATGGCTCTCACTGAGCCAGAAGTTTTTAGTCGAGCTGATGAGCACCTCCTGGAGGACTTTGCGGTTTACTGTGCTCTGGGATTACAAAAATTCAACACGCAGCAGACGGCAGATAAAACCAGAGCCAAGCTGGCTGTGACTAAAGAGGTATGAAATGCCATGATGACATTCATTTTGAGTCACTGGAAATCACTTCATATTGTCAGAATAATGAGCAAGTGATCTGAATGCTGACTCAACAATCACACAATACCAGGATTGATATACACAGGAAAATCTAAAATGTAACAGTTCTACAGATTTTAGTTTTTCTTTTCCTATTCACACTGTGCTTGTATGTGTGTGTGTGTGTGTGTGTGTGTGTGTATGCTTACACCTACAGGTCTTATCTTATCAAATCTCTGCTTCACAAAAAGAAATTGATACCCTAGAGGTACTGAAACTCTCTTTTTAGTACTTCCTTTTATATTTCTTTAAAAAAGTACCTACTGTCCTTCTACATCTGCACAAGACTCAATCAACTTGTTTGAATTGTTGTGCAACAGCACTAAGGACTGTAAATGTTGATGTGATAGAGAGAACTTGCAACTTCCTGTGGTTAGAGTTGCTTAGGCCTATTTTTATGTCAGTTGCACTTCAACGCAGGCCATTGTGTAATTTTAAATGTCTTATTAGTTTTCCCATTTCCCTTCACTTTTCTCTCCACTAGGAGGCTGTCATCCCGTCAGCAGATGTCCTCCGTTTACTGGATTTTGGCTTCAGTGATTTTGATATGTCCCAGACTGCCATGACTCAGGCCGTTGCGCGCATGTTCCTGGATCTCAATTTAGATTAGCCTAACAAGTATTTGAACACATTTAAGCATCTGTGAATGCCATTGTTATTTATACAATGCCATGTATACGTTTTAAAGTGTGGCCACTCTGTAGTGCTGCATTGGTATTTGAGATGCCACATTATGATTTCTAATTAAAAACTACTTGAATAACTACTCAAGAATACATATTTAAACACTGTGTAAATGACCTTAATATTTTGTCCTGGTAAATTACGGCTTGATAAATAAATGCAATATTACAGTCTGTTGCGCATTTTTGACCCCCTGTTTTTCTTGTTCTCTTTTCCCCCTTCCTCTCTCGGTGTCTTAGAAGTAACCAGCCTCTAGCACAGCTGTATGGTCACTCATCGCTGGAGCACCATCATTATGACATGTGCCTTCTCATTCTCAACAACCCTGTAAGATCCATCTATACATTCATATATCTGTCTGTCTGTTTATCCATAACATCTACACATCAATCCATCCATAACATGCATACATTTATCTATCAATGACATTCATCCATCCATCTTGTTGTCCAGTCGTCTATACAGTAGTATCGATATCATCCATCCATCCATCCATCCATCCATATATCCGTAATATCCATCCATCTATCATCTTGTTGTCCAGTCGTCTATCCATCCATAACATCTATCCATTCATAGCAACATCCATTCACCCATCCATCCATAACATCTATTCAAAATCCATCAATCATGTTGTCCTGTCATCCATCCATTGTCTCCTTAGATTCCATCCATCCATCTGTTTATCCACCCATCTATCTATCTATCTGGCCCTCATACAGTTATGAATCCATGTCCATGTACAACGGTTTCATACCTCTCACCCTTCTTCTCTTTCAGGGCAGTCAGATTCTCAGTTCGCTCTCATTGAAAGAATACAGGGCCTGTGCGCAGATGATTGAGAAGAACCTTCTGGCAACAGACCTTGCTATCTATATAGAGTAAGCTATAATCCTTTCCCAGTTCAAGCTCTAAACACAGCTGTTCACACAAAATGTTAAAACACAACAACCTAAATCGTTTGTGTGTCTATATGTTTTTGTTTATCTATAGGAAGATAACTATGTTCTTTAAACTCGCTCAGAATAACAGCTGTCTTTGGAAAGATGAAGGACATAGAGAACTGCTGAGGTAAAAATATCTTTTTGAAGAATATGCACATTAATGCACAATATTCACACATTTATAAAATAAATAAATTAAAACATTTAATAGAAATTTAATTTCACCTGACACACATTCTCACACAGCCCACCAAAAATCTACAGTACATATACATTTTTATATTGTCTTCTTCTAACAACACAAACTCTCTTAAGAATTATTTGCTTTCTTTTATCTGCTCTCATTATATTTCACTGTAAGCACAGCGTAAGAGCAGGAAACTTTGACCACATTTTTTTGCTTATGACCACTTCCTGTGTTTATATTAAGTGATGTTCACTTTCTGTCTCTATATTAACTGATTCTCTTGATCTAAATAGGTCAATGCTAATGACAGCAAGCGACATGTGTGGAATAACCAAACCATGGCCTGTTCAGAAGTGGGTGAGCTTCTCCCACACACATTTACATGCATGCATGCAGGTACACCACAACCACATGTGCATGCAAGCACACACATAGAAACACACACTTATATACGCACATACACAAATTTCTCTTTCTTTCACTTTACCTCGACAGCTTGCTGAACTTGTAGCAACAGAATTTTATGCACAAGGAGACAGAGAAAAGTGTGAATTCAACATTCAGTCAAATGTAAGTCTAGAGTTATGTGTTAACTTCCTCTACTTGTTTACTTTTGTACAGGAAGACTCTATATTTAAGAGGGAGGGTGACAAATTATTTTGTAGCCTTTTTTTCTTTTACAAAATGTTACAGGTGTGTCGTTTTATCAGAAGTTTGAATCAAAGGTTGAATCTCTTTCTTAAAGGATATGATGGACTGTAAAAACTCCATACATTTACCCCACATGCAGGTTGATTATATCGAAGGGATCTGCTCTCCGCTCTGAGGTGAGGGCCTGCTCGCACACATCCTGTTAGAAATGTGTGTCAGTATGTGTGTTTAGTGAGTAAGAGAGCTTTCTGCTGCAATGCTGTGCCTTTGTGTTGCAGAAGAAGTATTTAGTTTGTACCTACTGTTTGTCTCTTTTCCCTTCTTTCCCAGGCCCTGGCCAGCATTTGTGAGTCCTGTTCCCCTCTAAAAGAAGGTTGCAGAAGGAACAGAAAACACTGGCAACAGCTGGTAGACAGCGGAGAGGAAGAAGAAAGGATAAATATGAAAGGAAAAACAGATGGATAAAGGAAAGAAGCAAGTTAAAGCTAAACTCTTTTGGTGAACCATGCATAGAGTGGACCAGCAAAACTCAAAGTTGTATCTGATATTCAGATTATCACAGTGTATGATGAAATGAAATCCATTAAGCATTTCACATTCACAAAGATATGATTTTAACCCTCACTATCTGGCTGCCTGTCAAGCCTAAAACAAAGAAAAAAGGTAAAACATGAAGAATTGAACTAATCAGTTCAATAATATGAAAGAGATGCAATTCAATGCACATTGCTGGTAAACCTATATCAACACTTATATAGTTTAACACAACCAGTCATGTCCATCTATACTTGCCATTCTTGATTTTTAAATGAGCCACAGACTTTATGTTGGAAATATCACAAGTTACACAAGACTAGTTCCTGGTTGGCTTCGTCACACTTGTGAAACATGATTTTTATAATTAATGAATTTTGAATTTTGTGAATTAACATCTTGTGTTAATGAACTCATCTTCTCATGAACTGAGAAATCAAAATTCCCTTGATCTTTTGACGTATAAAAGGTCATTGTACTATAAAAAAATTCTGTAAGTTTCAGAACTCAAAACGTTCTCGTTAATCTCTCATTAGTCTACAATCAGCTACACCTATTCAAACCCTGACAGCACACACATCACGGAGATGTCTATTTGACGTCTGCATTTACATCTGCAAGACGTATTTTTTTAGAGTGTTTGCTCATCTACAATACGTCTATAGGACGTTTCCTGTCAGATGTCAAATAGACGTTTAGAAGATGTCTTTAAGATGTTTATGATTTAGAATGTATGTAAAACTGACATCTTAAAGATGTCTATCAGAAGATGTTAAAGATGTCTATCAGAAGATGTTTGTACACAACAGATGCTTTCCAGATGAAGCAATCTTTAACTGAGATCTTACAGATGTATGTGTGCTATCTGGGAAAAGAGCGTTCCGATGAGGGGGGTCAAAACAGGACAGAAAATCTAAATTATGAGGTTTTTGATGTAAAAATCTTGATAACATTATAAGTGGATCTCAGAGAACAGTACAAAATAATAAAAAAAAGGTAGTTCATTACCCCTTTAAGTTGTTGTTTTAGACAAGGAAGCACAAATTTTATTTCATTTTATTAATTAACGTTCATGTCCATTCCTCAAAAAAATGATTCATTTTGAATTAAGTTCAAACTAAAAAGCTAGAAACATCGATGATGGAAACATTTCTAATAATAAAAATATGTTTTATTATCCAACATGACAATGTCTGTTATGTTTTTTAGAGCAAACTAATATTGTTGTCTTGATTTATTGCCCCCACATTGTTTATTACAGTTTAATTTATTAAGCAAAAATTACAGCCATGAATATTTCCTGTAATATACTGAAAAGCTTGTCATCAGCCAACGTGCAATGAAATTAGCAGCAGATAATGGCGGTTGCCTGACGGTGCAACAGTATGGTGTTTTCTCTTGATGTGGTAACAAGTCTTCATGTGGCAACATGTGCAGTCTTGTGCAGATACAAGTTTGGCAGATGTACCTTTCAAACCTACTGAGTGCAGGGCAATGCTCTGGTAGACTGATAGTAGAACGAGTTGCTTGAACACAGATTAAAAACCTACTTTCACATTTTATAGAACATTTAAATCCACTTCATCATTACCAGGGCAGTTTAACTGAGTTCTAAACATAACTGCATTTTTAATAATTTTCATATTTATAACTTATGGAACAACACTCAACACATATTTTAACAACACTCAACATTGAGCAAACTCTTTGAAACCAAACCAAACAGTAGGACTGTGCCCATCGGTACAGGTTGACATGTCAGATGTGGCAATATCATACATATCATCAGGCTCAACTTCACAGATGATCCAAACATTCATGGTGCTTTGCTGCAAAACAAAAAAGGTATTTGTTATTGTTATTTCCTTGACAAATGTGATGAGACCTGATAGTTTGTACTTATTAATTTGTTGTACTTTTTCAGCATTAGACATCACACACATAGTAAGGATTTACTGACACTTACTTGGCAATGATCTTCTCAATGACCTTCTTAACCCAGGGTGCAGTAGGGTCCAGACAGATCTCTTTTCTGGATCCCTTCAGGGTGGCACTGTGTTAGAAATACAGAGAACAACCAGTAAGAACCCAATTTACTATTATATTAATCTGAATCATTATGGATTTATTCTAAACTTGTAATCTGCAAGGGTTAAAGCATTATTAGTGTGAAAACTCACATGATCTCTGTGTCTTTACAGTGTGGGCTTGGAGGGAAGAGCTCCACACTCTCTATGTGTTTTCCAATGCGTCGACTCTCTGTTTCAATGCAGCGACAGCGTGGATCTACACCCAGACCTCTAAGACTCATTCCTAAAAGCAAAATAATGCGTTAATTTTTCATCACATCCATGCATAACGTAAAAGTGCATTTGTACTAACTATGGTTACTGATTAACCTATAATATTACCAAATTACTGCAATTCACTTACCTTCACCAATGGTCAGGAATCCCAGAAAAACAATAACAGAGACTGAAAAGATTTTGCAGTGCATTCTGCCAAAAACTAACAAAATGTAAAAGTGCCACGACTGAACAGAACAGGGAGTATAAATAAGGAGACTAATGAATGGGTAACAGCTGCAAATCATAACCATCACTGGATTGGAAATCACTGGACTGAACAGAAATTAGGGCAATGGAACTACAAAAGGCAGGAGAACAGGAACAGAGAAACACAACCAAAAGTCCATAACTGTGACAATTATAAAGTGAAAGACACAAATTATATATGGAACACATTATATAGTGTTTTCTTCCTATAAGGACCCAAGAGTCAGAGTAAATCCTCTATTTACAACGGTTAAACCTTATTTGGTAAAAAGAAGTGAAGTGATATTTAGGCCTGATATTTCATTGTCATATTTATAAATAACGGGGGGGTTTGGATCCAACAAAACAGCACTAGCCATGCAGTGGTAAAAAATCAATCATGAGGTTTTGTGGAAGTGGTTGAAAAAGAGTGAGTAGTTTCATTATTCTTATTCATAATAATGACTATTCATATATATATATCACTCTCTATGCGTTTTCCAATGCGTCGACTCTCTGTTTCAATGCAGCGACAGCGTGGATCTACACCCAGACCTCTAAGACTCATTCCTAAAAGCAAAATAATGCGTTAATTTTTCATCACATACATGCATAACGTAAAAGTGCATTTGTACTAACTATGGTTACTGATTAACCTATAATATTACCAAATTACTGCAATTCACTTACCTTCACCAATGGTCAGGAATCCCAGAAAAACAATAACAGAGACTGAAAAGATTTTGCAGTGCATTCTGCCAAAAACTAACAAAATGTAAAAGTAAATCTAGTTTGGATGCTAGATATTTGAGGCGCTCAGATCTGTTGGTGAATTCTGTCCACATTGTGGAACATGCAGCTCTTTTAAAGCTCCGTCCTATGAGTCAGAGGGCATTGCGCAATATACTCAATTGGGAAAGTTTTGCTGATGTCACAGGCTTGTGAGCCTAGTTATTCATATGATTAAGAAAGTGACAATGAGCTGGAGGAATTTCAAAAGTTGTCCACTTTGATGTGTAGTATATTGCTTAACATTTCATGTTTTTTCAGCAATAGAAAAGTAAAACATGATCCCACACATAACACGTTTTACAAATCTGGCTAAAACATGTTCCATTATCGAATTTTTGCAAGACATTACCCTTAATGTTGATTATGCAGGTGGAAGTCACACTCGCTCTCAAAAACTGTAACAAATAAACAAACTGAGCCATGGAAGGGTTCCATGGAAAATTTAAGAGAAAAAAAATAAATGCACATATAATTTTGTACTTATTTATTATTTACTGTATTTGCAAAAGTTAATTTATTTTTATGAATGTATATTTATTTATTTAGCTAATTACTTGTAAATGTTTATTTACTTATGTATATTTATTTCTGTTTGCATTATTTATCTGGCAAAAACTCTGAGGATCTAGTTAAAAGCATTATTTAGACTAAGTAACTGCATAAAACATAGCTTTTTATATAACATATTTGTTTGTAAAATTATTGCAATAAACATTATACTATTATTTTGTATATGGCTACAAAAAAGAACATGTAAAATGCAGCACCAACTTTTGAGTAGGGATACAAATGAATCATTATCTATCGTTTTATTTAACCGGTGCATTCGAATGAGCCGTCTGATTGAACCAATACAAATGAGTCGGACTTTCCAGAGGAAGTGGGTGTGCAGGCTAACACGTTTGATTAGTTCGCACAATATTGCTTTCCATTACAAAAAATAGATGCGGTGTTTTGTCACGTTACACTGCTACTTATTGGGAAAAGTAACATATTACTGGAAAGCTACTGTTAAATAAAAGCTGCACTTCTGAAATTGAAACTGCAACTGAGTTCATGTTGTGACTGATTGTTGTTAATGACTGCATTTTTTGAAGAATCCTTGATTGCTGATTTAAAAAAGTTACAGTATGTGCAACAAAAATGGTCACATTGCCAAAATTTACTTTTTTCCCCAAAATGCATGAATACCAAACACCAACTATGTGCTGCTTATACAGTATTATCTATACTGCCTGCAACATGAATTCATTTACATGTTTTTCAAACTTCACCAGAAATCTCATCTCATCTGAAGAAGTATTTGTTTTCAGTTCAATAAGCAGTTAAGGATAAGAGATGCGATTATATATACATATATAGACTGCTGCCAAACCACAAATATCTCTTTCTTGAGAAAGAGTTTATCCAGTGTTGCAAAATTTCACCAAAAGCAGAGTCACCAAAAAATAAACTACAGCTTGGCTTTAAGATACGTTTGCTGTGCAGACTGTTTACAGTTATCTGAAACAGATCATCTCAAATAATCTGCACATCTCTTGTAATATAGCTTTCCAATGATGCAATGCGGGAAGTCTCGCAGCTTGAACAAAGGAGTATTATCACTCACCTACTGTAACAGTAACACAAAATAAATCTTTTAGTGTGTGAGAACCTACAGTGAAAATGTATTAGTAGGGGAGGCTGAAAAAAAAAAACACATTAAAAGAGGCTATATTACCATTGTATTTCCAAGGCATTTAACTTGTATTTAACCTTTTGGGTTCATGGGGATAAGTTGTCACACTGAAAACCTGTTGTTTTTTGACAATGAATTACGAAAGCATTTCGCTAAAGGATGCATAAGAACATGACTATGTTAAGGATGCGTAAGGCTACGTAAAGAGGTTAATTATTGCTTTTGCAAATACACAGGGATAATTTACACAGTGATAATCAGATAATTTGCTAAGAATAAGGATTAATAATAAACAATAATAATTTAAAAACATCCTTGTCCAAAAAATGCAGTTTAGGCTACAAATCATACAATCATGTCAAATACAGTAGTTTGACATCGCCTTCATGTACGCCTCTAATAATAATAATAATAATAATAATAATTATTATTATTATTATATATATATATATATATATATATTTAGGCGATGTCAAACTACTGTATTTGACATGATTGTATGATTTGTAGCCTAAACTGCATTTTTTGGACAAGGATGTTTTTAAATTATTATTGTTTATTATTAATCCTTATTCTTAGCAAATTATCTGATTATCACTGTGTAAATTATCCCTGTGTATTTGCAAAAGCAATAATTAACCTCTTTACGTAGCCTTACGCATCCTTAACATAGTCATGTTCTTATGCATCCTTTAGCGAAATGCTTTCGTAATTCATTGTCAAAAAACAACAGGTTTTCAGTGTGACAACTTATCCCCATGAACCCAAAAGGTTAAATACAAGTTAAATGCCTTGGAAATACAATGGTAATATAGCCTCTTTTAATGTGTTTTTTTTTTTCAGCCTCCCCTACTAATACATTTTCACTGTAGGTTCTCACACACTAAAAGATTTATTTTGTGTTACTGTTACAGTAGGTGAGTGATAATACTCCTTTGTTCAAGCTGCGAGACTTCCCGCATTGCATCATTGGAAAGCTATATTACAAGAGATGTGCAGATTATTTGAGATGATCTGTTTCAGATAACTGTAAACAGTCTGCACAGCAAACGTATCTTAAAGCCAAGCTGTAGTTTATTTTTTGGTGACTCTGCTTTTGGTGAAATTTTGCAACACTGGATAAACTCTTTCTCAAGAAAGAGATATTTGTGGTTTGGCAGCAGTCTATATATGTATATATAATCGCATCTCTTATCCTTAACTGCTTATTGAACTGAAAACAAATACTTCTTCAGATGAGATGAGATTTCTGGTGAAGTTTGAAAAACATGTAAATGAATTCATGTTGCAGGCAGTATAGATAATACTGTATAAGCAGCACATAGTTGGTGTTTGGTATTCATGCATTTTGGGGAAAAAAGTAAATTTTGGCAATGTGACCATTTTTGTGTTCCATTGGACGGATTTGACACGTGCTTCAGAACGCGGTCACGCAAGGGCGTTCCCAAAGCGATCTCGACGCAGCTCGAGTTCCTGAAGGGGAACAGATGCAGTCTTGTATTGTGAATCTGTCATCAGTCATCTTATCTTATATATAATGAGCTGTAAGGGCTTGCCCACAATCAGGGCATTTATTCTACCCAGACACAAACAATAATATATTGATTACACACAGGATCAAATTTTAAAGGTTCAAATAAGATCATAGTGTGCACATAGACCTTTCAGTTACTTTCAGTTTTATTATGTCTTATAAATAGTTGTAACATTGGTTTTGGATTTTGTTTCATGTTCATTGTTTTCTTGTCTTTTATTTATTTATTTATTTATTTTTAGTTCTTGTTCCTGTCATGTGTTTCCCTTACCCTCATGTGATCCTGCTATTGGTTCCTTTGCAGTATGTGTCCTGTTTTCATTGGTTGTCTAGTTTGTGTCATGTGTTTATTGGTTGGATTATATCATGTGACCCATTTGTTTGCTATATTTAGCCCTCATGTTGCCATTGTCTCTTGTCTAGCTTTGTTTTGTGTAACTGGTGCTTGGTGAGTCTTGTATTCATGTTCAAGTTTATTTCATGGTTGGGTATCAAGTCAAGTCTTCGTTTATATTTGTATAGTTCAAGTCTCGTAAATAAAAGTTGCACATGGGTTCAATAAGCTTGCCTACAGTGGACTTTATTACAGAAAACTAGACCTTATACTATGAACCCAGCAGTTAGCCTTCTGAGCCTTCGTCAAGGCAATCGGCTCATAGAGGTTTATGTTCAGGACTTCTGTGGACTTTGTGATTTGGTGGACTTTAATGAGATCGCTCTAAAAGACATTTTTCGTCATGGGTTAAACAAACCCATTTGTTCACAGCTTCCCGGGGGAAAGATCCACTGGTCTCTGGAGAAATATATTGATCATGTCCTGTTGTTAAGTGGTTCTTCATATACTGTGGGTTTAGCAGACAAGGAACCCTGCAAACCCACAGTACCTACCAAGCCAGATCCTGTTCACGTAATGTCTGCTAAGCCAGAGCCTGCTCACGTCATGATTGCCACGCCAGTGCCTCTCCACGTCATGGCCGCCACACCAGAGACTCCAGCCATCATGACTGCCACACTAGAGTCTCCCCTCCTCAGGACCATTCAAGTCAAGGCGGGCTATAGTACCCAAGATCCAATTGATGTGGAGCTTGGGCCAAGACAGGTAAGACTAATGGCCAGTGTCATGGATCCACCAATGATGTCAGTACGAGCAGGTGGCATCCTGGGGCCTCACCGCTCTCAAACCACATGGCCTCAGTGCTGTCCAGCCCGGAGGTCTTCCCTCCGTCACCTGTACTGTCCATGATGGCGGTTGCCATCTTGTGTGTATGGGCTGCACACTGCTATCCAGTCCATGAGTCTGCTTCAGTCCATGAATCTGCTCCAGTCCATGAGTATGCTCCAGTCCATAAATCCGCTCCAGTGCCTGCTTCAGTCCATGAATCCGCTCCAGAGCCCACTCAAGCCCCAGAGCTCAGTCCTGTGTTGGCGTCAACCTGTGCGTTTCCTGCCTGTCCTGTTTTGACCACAGTGGACACGCCCAAGGAGGCCGTCCCTGAACTCTCTGCCTGTCCTGCCACTGCCAAGGAGGTCATCCCTGAACCCCTTGCCTGTCCTGTCACGGCCATGGAGGCTGTCTCTGAACACTCTGCCTGTCATGTCATGGCCATGGAGGCCACTCACGAACTCTCTGTCTGTCATGCTATGGCCGCTGAGGCTGTTCAAGGATATTCTGCCTGTCATGTCACAGCCAAGGAGACTGTTCATGAACTCTCTGCCTGTTATGTTACTGCCACTGAGACGGTTCAAGGTTACTCTGCCTGTTCTGTCACGGCCAGGTGGTCTGTCCATGTCTCTGCTCCGCCATGGCCTCCTGACC